CTGGATTCCGTTTGAAAGTGTATATCTGTCATACAGCAACTGTCAGAATGTATGAAAATTCACCGAGTATCACTAATGGTACAGTATAAGTAAAATTTAAGGTTTCAACTTAAGCTGCAGTCATAACCAGTAGTTGTTGTACTAATGCATAGTGTTAGGTGTTTACTATTTATTACGGGCCGTTTGGGTTTCTTCAAGTTGTTTATGCTGTAAAAAGAGAAAAATATTACAATTATTTTGGTAAAAAAAGTCATCAGCGAATAGTGCAACTCGTTCGCATAATCACGCACAGACTTTTATTCAAATTTTAATTTACCATTTGGTAAAGGGTGTCGTCATCTACCTTTGGTGGATGCGCAAAGACGCGGATCTAAGTCCTTATTGAGATATGGTGTCCCAAATATAATCTTCGGTACAGACCTATTCCGAGTGATTCGTGCTGTAATTACTTTTCTTTCAGATCGATTGAGTGTCAAATAGATAATGCAAGCTCAAACATATACCCTCTTAAAGTCTTAAATGGATTGCTTGACTCTAAAGTCAGTTCTTAGCTTCTTACTTATGATTAATAGTACTAAGAATTATAAATAGTACTTTTATTGTAAACTGAGCAGTAATATTTTACTGTGTTCATTTGTAGTGCGTACGGAGTTACGTGATCCTTCTAAGTTTCCTATGAGACAGCTAGTGTTAGAAGACGTTAGGAATATTTGCAAACTATAGCTGTTGAACGTTCCAACAGTAATACTAAAAGTTTTCAACAACTTACTGTCGGAAGGGAGTTTCAGGAAATATGAAAACCTCCCTAAGTCATGGTAATAAGTTCAAAAGCAACTGAGAAAGAACCATCGAGAACTTTCCAGAACATTCCAGAGAGAGCTTTCTAGAATATGCCAAACAAAACTTTCTCAAATATTTCAAAGAGAATTTTCTCTAATATTCCAGAAAGAACATTCTGGAATTCTAGTCATACTGTAAATAGACTCTGTAGTAGTTCTGTCAATTCCATCTGACTAATCACACAGTATCAATTATTGCACTTGTGTGTCACAAGCATTTCATTCTCATACCAAAACTGACCTTTCAGCAATCGTAATGTCTCATCAGTACGTAACTAAAGACGATTTATTCAAAATGTACCAAAATTGCAGTAAAGATGTTCAATCTACTGCTGTACATTTATTACATACGTTGAGTCCAAATACTAATCAAGATGACTTGATCGAAAAAGCAATCGAGATTGTTCAAATACATGCCCAGAAAAAAACTGGTGAATATGAGCAATGGAGAAAAACTCGTTCCAATTTTCGACATGAGTTGTTTCCAAACCATGTGCCAATCGATGATCTTTTACATTCAATTGAGCAGTCTGCTGAAAGCAGGAAACGTAAAAATACGACGTCGACAGAAGCCTTTCATCATTTAATGGCACGTCAAAAACGTTACAAAACCAAAGAGAACGTTGAGCATTTGAAAGAGGCTGCAGCACAAAACAATTTGTCGATAAATGAATTTTTACGGTACACGCTTTACAGATGTAATTATAATGAAAATGGAAACGATGAATCGAATCGCCAATTAGCATTAGCTGGAAAAATTTTGCTCGAACAAAGGAATTTATCAATGATGCCAAAATTATCAGTCGATGAAACAATTACATTGCATATCTTGACTTAAGCAGACAGGACATTCGATTTTTAAAAGCAATGCTGGAAGAAAAGATCAACGTATCAAATACTACTGACATTCTCGAGCGTAAAAAACAACTACGCCCAGAATCGATTGAATATCGAGATGGTCGAGGAATTATGGCACAATCTAGACATGATGTTAACATCGAAACGTTTGATTGAAGTGGCTAAAAGTCAAGGAAAACATGTACCACCATCGTTACATTATACAGAAAAAATCGGTTATGACGGAGCAGGCTCAATGTCTATTTATCGTTCACCGCATAATCCACAAGTGGAACCAAATATATTCTCGAAGATGTTTACGCCGTTAAGTTTGACATCATCATTGACACATAATATTCTGTGGAAAAATGAAACGCCAAACAGCTCAAAAACAAATCGTCCATTAGCAATTATTGCTGAAAAAGAGTCAGACGATTTAATTGAGTTTATCAATAAGACATTTGAACCAAAAGAAGATCAGCTACGAAAACCCGGGATTCAATTTGATCATTATGGCATCATGTATAATGTTCAGATTGAAATACATCGTAATATGAAAGATTTCAAGATAAGACAAATGGAATATGGTGACATAAAGAAGTCAAGAAATGATTATAACACACGAAAAGGTTTAACGTCGAAGCCTTTAAGTGACGGTGAGCAACATTTCATAACTATAACTCATCAATATATCAATTTAACTAACTGGATCTTAAAAATCATGTAACATATGAAAGCTAATATTTTACGATGGCCTGAAACAAATAATGGAAATGTCAAAGTAAAAATCGAAAAGACGAAAGAAGTAATTCTTCAAGAGTTAAAAATTAAAATGGGTCTTCGATTAGATCTAGGCATGCACCAGTTACAGTTAACTGTAAAACTGTAAATGTCATAACTGTTATAACTGTAAAACTAAAACTATCATAATTGTTCCGAAGATAGTTCAGAATGAGTTATCGTTGTACTATTAGCATAGGTTTCAGAGTCAGATCAGATCAGACAGGTGCCTTATCTGTTGCAGACGTTGGCTAACATGATACGCCAGTTTTTCCGGTCTTGTGCTACGTGAAGGAAGTCCGTTTTCTCACATGCTTGTTTTGCAATCCAGAGGTTCATGCTTTCGAGGTACTTGATTCTTGGTCGGCCTTTGTCTTTCCTCCCATTGATTTTCCCACTTAATACCAAGTGTTCTACGCAACCTTTACGGATTATATGACCTAGGAATTTCAGTTGCCTATATGGTATTCAGCAAACATCTTTTCCATTTGATTCTTCTTAGTACTGATTCGTTGCTTTCTCTTGCCGTCCATGATACATTCAGCATCCTTCTTAGGAACCACGTCTCGGCAGCCTCCAAACGTTTTTCCATTTCTTTGTTGATTGTCCAGCATTCAGATCCATATAAGAGAACCGACCATACGTAACATTTGAGGACTCTTGTTTTAGTGTTGATCGATATGGTTCTATT